CTGAGTGAACCTTAAGTGGAAGGAGCCAGACATGATGGAAAAACGCCCAGAACAGGTGAATTCAGAAGGGCAGAAGGGGATTCGTGTTGCCAGGGGCTGAGGTGTGAAGGGGCCAGGGAGTGACCATAAAAGGGTATACAGTGTCTTTGGGGCAACAACAACTCTCTAAGATCGATTGTGGTGATGGCTGTACAATTCTGCCCATATGATTACAAACATTTTAAATGGGTGGAGCATGGCTGGGTGCTCACACCTGTAATCCCAGCAGTCCAGGAGGTTAAGGCAGGAGGATCACCCTGAGCTCCTTGAGCTCAGGAGTTCAAGACCAGCCTGAGCAAGAGAAAGGCCCTGTTTCTACCAAAAATAGAAAAAATATCAAGGTGTCATGATGGGCGTCTGTAGTCCCAGCAACTTGGGAGGTTGAGGCAAGAGGATGGCTTAAGCCCAGGAGTTTGAGGTTGCTGTGGGCTGTGATGATGCCACTGCACTTCAGCCTGGGGAACAGAGCAAGATCCTGTCTTAAGAAAAAAAAAAAAAATAGGTGGAGTGTGTAGATTATATGTGTATCTCAATAAAGCTGGTAATAAAAAGAAATCCCACATGAGAAAACAATTTTCACCCTGCTGAGAACTGCACAGCTGGAGCCGATGCGCCCAGAGGATTGGGCTGGTCTGAGGGGCCATGGCCCCAGCCCACAGGGTTTTCAGAGTGGGGGCCCTGGCCCCTACTGCAGTCTTATTAAAATGCAGGCTCCTGGGGCCCACACTCGCCATGATGCTGAATCTGGTGCTAGGAAGAACAGCATCGGAGTATGGATTATTCACCATCTTTTCAAAAACAATTAAAGGACTGAGCTGCCTGGTTAGGACAAGTGTGTGTGTGTGTGGGGGGGGGCATAGATGCCCTTAGGTCAGCTGCTGAGCAGGACAGATCCCTCTGCCCTGAAAATTGCTGGCTGGATCCTGCTGAGATTTCAGGGCATCTTGGGGCCCTGGGCCCTGGGCCCTGGGCACACTGAGGGAACAGAATGGACGGGGTGTAAGCCAGTCAGAAATTTAGCCTAGTGGTAACAAAGAACTGGAAGGGGATGAACTAAAGCTATTACTATCCCTTATTATGACCCTCGATAACTCACTTAGTTCTTCCTACAAGGCTTTTCACCCTCCTCAAAAAAGGTTAGATCCGGGTGGTGCCCGTAGCTCAGTGGGTAGGGCACCGGCCACATACACTGAGGCTGGCGGGTTTGAGCCCAGCAGGGGCCAGCTAAAACAACAATGACAACTGCAACAATAACAACAACAAAACCAGCCAGGTGTTGTGGGGGGCACCTGTGGTCCCAGCTACTTGGGAGGCTGAGATAAGAGAATTGCTTGAGCCCAAGAGTTTGAGGTTGCTGTGAGCTATGACCCCATGACACTCTACCCTGGGCAACAACTTGAGACTCTGTCTCAAAAAAAAAAGAAAAAAAAAAAGGTTAGATCCTGGAATCAAATGCTGTTTACCTTTTGCATTTTAGAATCATTTGGGAACTCATCAAGGGATCCTGATGGCTGCTGCCCCACTCTGGGAGGAGGATGACAACCCTGGGAAGCTCAAACCCTCTCTGGGGTCTGGGTAAACTGAGGCTTAATGCACAGGCTGCATGGGGGTGATGATGGTGCCAAGAATAACAGTATTTGATATTGACTGAATGCTCCTTCTGTGCCAGGCCGCACAAGAAGCCACTGGTTTCATTCACACCACACCGATAAGGACATGGAGGCTCAAAGGGAGAGAGTGCTCGGCCCAAAGTCACATAGCTGGTCAGTAACAGGCTAGGTTTCCGCCCTCATCTGGCTGCACAACTCAGCCTCAGAGCCTGTGTCCTACCTGCCACTGGCGTCTCATTTTCTCTCATGAAATGCTAAAGCAAAATGATTTTGTATTTGGGCTCCCACATTCACCGCAGTACACTCTTCACAATAACCGAAATGTGGAGGCAACCCCAATGCCCATCCACAGGCGATGGGTAAGTATGAGGTGGTGTGTGCAGGTGCAATGGTTGGAAGGTTCGTGTTCTCCCACTCCAAGTTCCCAACTTGAAATGCTAACTCCCAAGGTGATGTTATTTTAGGATTAGAGCCTTTGAAAGGTGATTAGGTCACAAGGGCAGAGCCCTCATGCATGGGAGTAGTGCCCTCATGAAGAAGTCAGGAGAGCTCGCTCACCTCCACAGGTGAGGACGCAGCAAGAAGATGCTGCCTGTGAGCCAGGAAACAGACCCTCGCCAGACACTGGGTCTGCCAGCACCTTGATCTTGCACTTCTTTTCCATCCTTCAAAGCCTCGTGAAATAAATGCCTGTTACTTATAAGCCACCTGGTGTATGGTAATTCGTTTTAGGCAGAGCAAACAGACTAAGACAACTTGTGCTGGAATATGATTCAGCCGTAAAGATGAAGAGAATTCTGCCACATCCACCATGGACCTTGAGGACACAGCTCAGTGAAGTGAGCCAATCACAAAAGCACACAGCGTGGGATCTCGTCCACGTGAGAAACAGAAAGTGAAATGGTAGTTGTCAGGGTCTGGAGGGCGGAGGAAATGGAGTGTTGCTTAATGGGCACAGAGTTTCAGTTGTAAGATAGAAGAACTCTGGGGAAGGACTGTGGCTACGGCTGCACACTGGATACACTTAACACCACACTGGGCACTTCAGATGGCACAGTTTATGGTATGTGTATTTTACTGTAATTAACATTTTTTAAAAAGTTATTGTATAACATATGTAGAAAAGTGCACAACTCTTCAGTGGAATTGGGCACATGGACTGGCTCAGGTGGCAACTGTGGAGCCTGAGGTGGAATCAATGCCAGTGCCCCGAGCCCCCGCCGAGCTCCCTCACGGAGTCAGTCCCACTCCTCCCTGCCCCAGCTCCCTGGAGAGCAGCCACTGGAGAGTTCTTTCCCTCGTTTTTGTTTTGTTTTATCCTGTTTTGAGACAGAGTCTCACTTTGTCACCCTCAGAGTGCCGTGGTGTCACAGCTCATAGCAGCCTCAAACTCTTAGGCTCAATCTCAAACTCTTGCCTCAGCCTCCCAAGTAGCTGGGACTACAGGTGCCCTCCATAACACTAGGCTATTTTTAGAGACAAGGTCTCACTCTTGCTCAGGCTGGCCTCCAACCTGTGAGCTCAGGCTACTCACCCACCTTGGCCTCCCAGAGGCCACCTCGCCCAGCCCTTTCCCCATTCTCAAATGTCATATAAAGAGAATCGGGGGCATGTCCCCCTTTGTGCCTGGCTTCTCCCTCTGAACACAACACCTGTGTGTGTCCATGCCGATACGTGCAGTTACATTCCTTTGTTCTCATTGGTGTGTAATATTTTGCTGTATGAACAGACTGCAATTTGTTTATCTGACCTGTTAGAAAGTGTTCTCGGAGCCTCTGATCGGAGATGCAGGGAAACCTGTTGTCAACGAGTCTCCTCTTCCGAGTTTGGAGCTGTTCTGAATTGTATCAACATGAGCCTTCCCGAGCGTGTCTCCTGGTGAGCGTGCAAAGGCAGTTCTCTTCAGCACACAAGGGCTGTCTGCAAAGTGTCCAGCCGTGTACTGTGAAAAATAGAGACATACACGGCTGGCTGCTTTCCGTGGGATTGTGGGGTTGTAGGCCAGTGTGTGTCCAGCCTCAAAAAAAATAAAAAATCTGCACCGAGCAGATTTCTGAGCTGTGGCACTAGCTCTCACTCCCAACAGCTCCCATCCCCACCTCACGACTTTGTCATTTTCATCTGGCACCTTCTGGTGGGTGTGTTGTGGACTGCTCCTCCGTTGAAGTGACAGAGGGTAGGGGCCTGGGGTGGGGGTGGCATCAGGACCTCTCTGGTGGGAGGGCTTTGAAAAGCAGCTCTGGTGCTCGCTTAGGCAGCACATATACTAAAACTGGGATGATGTCGAGAAGATTAGCATGGCCCCTGTGCAAGGATGACATGCAAATTCATGAAGCATTCCATATTTTTGTCAAATCTATTAAGTGTAGAGTATCAATAATTAAGTAAGTGAGGTGAAGGCTATGTTAACCAGTTACATGTAAGCATTCCAAATTGTATATAAAATCAGCACATTGTACCCCATAAATGCATTAATGTATACATGATTTATGTATTTATGACTTAATAAAAAAAGTATACCTTTTGAAAAAAAATGAAAAGCAGCTCTTGTCCAGTGAAGGGTCCTGTGGGAATGTATGACATCCTGAAGCTTTTCATAAATTGGGGTCCTCACACTCACAGAATGATGGAGTGACTGAAAGCCCCTGTCCAGAGCTTAGTGGTGAAGATGGCCACTTACTACCTGTGCAGCCCTGGACTCAGTCCCCTTGTCTGTAAAATGGGCATAACAACAATACCCACTTTATAGAATTAAAAAAAAGAATCTCACTCTGGATAGAGTTCTGTGGCATCACTATAGCTGACAGTAACTTCAAACTCCTTAGGCTCAAGCAATCCTCTTGCCTCAGCCTCCTGAGTAGCTTGGACTACAGGCACCTGCCACATCCAACTAATTTTTCTATTTGTAGCAGAGATGGAGTCCTGCTCTTGCTCAGGCTGGTCTCAGACTCCTGAGCTCTAGAGATCTTCCTGCCTCGGCCTCCGAGAGGGCTAGGATTATGGCATGAGCCACCCGGCCCAGCCATAGGATATTTTTGAGGAACTAATGTCTGTACCATGCTTGAAACAGTCCTTGGCTCCCAGCCAGCACTCAATGAATGTCTGTAGAACTTGGGGAGGCTGGCACCAATGTAGCCTGGCACACAGAGCCATATAACTGCTGACTCCCATTGGAATCTGTGGAAAACCTTCCACCACTTTCCAGGCCCTGGTCCAGGCAAGGCTCAAGCCGAGGCAGCTGGGGGTGAGGGAGGCTGACTGTCACCCCAGGATTATCACAGAAGTCCTTCCCACCCTTATCTCTGGATAGGCAGCTACACCACCACATCCTCAATTTCAGGAGGCTCTGGTGCTGCCAACACCTTTCCCATGGTTTCACTTTCAGTTTCTTGAAAGAGCTGTCTTTCCTGGCCACTGGAGGTGCCGGGAATCTTGTGCCCCTGTCCAAGGCTGACAGATAAGAAATGCCCCTTGTATCTGCCAACATCAAAATCACACTCATCCCAGGGCACGGTGGTCCCACCTCTGGGAGGGTGACTTGGCATAGCAGAGTACATGGTTGTAAACAGCTGGAAAGAAGCTGCCCAGTCAGCTTCATGGAAGTGGCAAGGGGACCACAGACATCACCCATCAGGCAGCTTCTGTGCACCGACGCAGGGCACAGCTCTCCGTGATGAAAGCAAGTGGCACACAGCTCTGCCGGGAGAATGTGCCCCATTCACCTAAGCGGGAACAAACGAGGCACATGCCCCACACACAGAGCGTCTTTTGAAAAGAGGCACATGGCAGTTGCCTCCAGGAGTGGGAGGGAAGTCAGTTTTTTTCTGTGAAGTCTTTGGATGCTTTAAATTTTTGTTTAAATCACGTGTGCATTATTGTTGGGGGTTTTTCACCACAAGTTTCCCCCACCCCCCACTGGGCAGATGGAATTAGAGCAGCTTTCTTTCTTAAATTAGCATGCCAGAGGGACACCCTCTGCAGCTCATTTTCTGAGCTATTTAGGTTAAAATCAATTGGTGCCTCAGAGGCCAACCTGCCTGGGTTCAAGTTCTGGGTGCTCCCATTCTGTAGTTATCTCAGGCAAGTGGCTTAAACTCTCCCAGCCTTGATTTCTCACCTGTAAAATGGCATGATATTGATATTGTTATTATGGATATGCTGATATTGATCTTCATCCATTGATGTTGACATGGTAATAGCAGGCCCTGCCTTGTGGGCTTGTGGTGTGGCTTCAGTGAGCTTGAGAAAGTGCTGGAGATCGCCCGGCATCTCCCGTGTGTCCCACTGCGGTGGGGGCAGGCTGGGCAGAGATCTTTATGCCTACTTGCAGATGCGTAAGTTGAGGCACAAAGTAGCAAAGTCCCATGGGAGAGGCATGGTTGGGGCGGCTAGGCCGTGGACCCACTAGCAACCTGCTCTGTGACCTTAAGACAGTCCCTCCCTCCAGTCAGGTAATTGAGGGGGGCTGGAGGCTGTCCTGGGTGATGTGGGGCAGAAGCACCAGGCCAGAAAGGCTGGGCTTCCAAGGCCTGGTGTGGGTGACAAGTGAGGCAGAAGTACCTCTGAGCCACCTCCGGGTACCCAAACAAGGTGCTACTCTCAGGCTATTTTTTTTTTTTTGAGACAGAGCCTCAAGCTGTCACCCTGGGTAGAGTGCTGTGGCATCACAGCTCACAGCAACCTCCAACTCCTGGGCTCAAGCGAGTCTCCTGCCTCAGCCTCCCAAGTAGCTAGGACCACAGGTGCCTGCCACAACGCCTGGCTTTTTTTTTTTTTTTTTTTGGTTGCCGTCATTGTTGTTTGGTGGGCCCAGGCTGGATTCGAACCTGCCACCTTAGGTGTATGTGGCTGGCGCCTTAGCCACTTGAGCCATAGGCACCAAGCCTACTCTCAGGCTTAGAAGCATCTGCTCTGTGTTCCACACCAGCACTCCCCGCTTTGCCCAGTGCACCAGTCCTCTGGAGTCTTGTTCAGCAGATTCTGACCTGCACAGTGCTGGTGGGGACTGCAGTTCCTCATTTCTAGTAAGCTCCTTGGCAGGGCCAGGGCTGCTGGTCTGAGGACCACAGATTGAGTAGCCACAATCTGCATTTGATCTAAATCATGGCTGACACATATGTACATGTGTATAAAAAGTCAGTGAGCTAGGTGGCACCTGTGGTGCAAAAGGGTAGGGCACCAGCCCCATATGCTGGAGATGGCAGGTTCAAACCCAGCCCAGGCCAAAAAAAAAAAAGAAGTCACAGAGCTGTGCACTTAACATCAGTGCACTTTACGGTATGCAGTAGGCTATGCTTCAGTGGGAAAGATTACACACACACACACACACACACACACACACGATTGTAGATGTTTCACGGACAGGGAATTAAACAATGTAAAATAACATTGAAAAAGAAATCCAGCCCCTGAATCATCTGAGGAATGAACACAGAATGATGCAGAATGGTTTCTGAACCCTTCCCAGGGGCCTGGCCACCCACAGGGGCGCTTAGCCCCTCCCCACCCCACCTTCTCCAGATCTAGCCCCCCACACCCTCCCACTCAGGTGCCGGGCAGGGGTGAGGGGCTTCACACCCCAGGCAGCCTTGCCTTTCTCAGGAAATGTTTGTGGTCTGGTGGGCTTGGCTGTTTGGCCCCCAGCAGGAGGAGGACTTTGCCTAGGAGAGGTCACGCGAGTGGATCACCACCTCTGAGGTGCAGTCTCAGGTGTCTGGCAACTGCTCTGTTGCTCCCACGTACATCTTGGCTCCTTCTGCAGTGGGGGCCACTCTCCCACCATCCCAGGGGAAGGCCTCTGCCTTCCCTTGCCTGCCCGTCTGCTCCCTGGCCATGGCTGTGTGTCTGTCCCCTCTGTAGGGGTGCCCAGACCACTTTGCACGGATCCTTCCCACCCACCCCTACAGCCTCACTGGTTTCCTCACTTAGTTCCTGGTCCCTGAAAGGCATGGAGCTGAGTGACAGAGCATGTTACCCTGGAACTGGCATGTGAGGTCAGACTCGGCTCCTCACCAACTTGCTGTGCGATCATGGGCAACTACATAACCTCTCTGTGCCTTGGGTTCCTCACTTGCAAACACTGGCCTTATGCAGTCGTTTGCAAGGATGAATTTGGGACACGTAGTAAGCGCTCCCTCAGTAAACGGCCTTTGCTTTTGTTCACTCTGAGCACGGCCATTTGCTCTCCCAGCGGCTCGTCATGGCCCAGGACCAGGAAGGACAGGACGAGGACTTCCCATCCCAGGGATGCCTGGCTGCATCTGGCGCCTCTCCCCACCCACCCACCGGCATGCCCTCTGCCTCCCTCTACCTCCCACCTGGGACAACAGGCAGAGATGGGAACCGTGCAGTGTCGTGTGTTTTGTGGTGTCCTAGAATTCCATGACTCCCAGATCACGAATGTGAAACCATCTTGCAGATGAAGAAGATAAGGTCCGACGGCTCACATAACAGACTTGCATGTGTAGGATCTTCCATCTCTGGGTCAGGAGTCTGACTCCTGGTCCCATGTTTGGACTTCTGGACCCAGACCAGCCTGCCTGGAAATCAAGTTGGGTGGGGGAACCCCAAATCCCCCGACCCCCATGGCAGACCACAAATCTGCTGTGGCTCTGAGAGGGGTGGAGGGTAAGGGCACAGTGAGATCAGGAAAAAGAACTGTCATTGAATCTATACCAGGCCAACACCCAGTGAGTGTGATTAAGCACCTGCTATGAGCTTTGCAGCTGTTATCTTTCCTCAATCTCATGGCCGTCCAGTCAGGGAAGGTTTCTGTTTCCATTTTACAGGTAAGAAAACTGGGGCTCCGAGAAGTAAAGTCACTTGCCTAAGAGACTCAGAGATGAAAGAAGGAAGAACTAGAATTCAAACCCAAGCCCTCCTCTCACAGGCTAGAAAACTGAGTTCACATTGCAGTGGGGGAGACAGGAGGTGAACAAGTACACCAGGATTATTTTAGGCAGAGTGATGTTTTATAGGAAATGAAATGAGATTGACATGAGCAAGGACACCACCAGCAAGGGAATAGAAACAACCCAAGTTCAGGGAGAAACAAAGTTTCAGCAGAAACTTTGTTTGAACTAAAATGGGGAGGAGGAAGAAGAGCCTGGGGGAAGAGTGTTGAAGGTATGGTGACAGCATGTGCAAAGGCCCTGAGGTGGGGCCCAGCCTGGCTTTCTGTTGAAGCAGAAAGACCTGCATGGCTGGAGTTCCCTGAGTGATGTTGAGGGAACAGGGGCCACAGAATGCAGCCTGGCCAGTCACGAGGAGTTGGGTCTCTTCTGAGCCTAACGGGAGGCCACTGGAAGGATGGAAGCAGGACTTTAACCAGGTTTTGCTGGGAGCCTTGG